CGACGACCACAGGCGCTTGACGGCAGGCACGAGCTAGACACCAAAGCCTTCATCTTCCAGGGACTCCTCTTCTGGGTTTGGAAAAATTGAGCAAGACTGAGTACAACCACCGTACTCAACAAGACACACCCACAAGTGCAGGATAAATGTAAAGGAGTACAAGGGGGTTATGATATAAAGGGTTAGGGTTTGCAGTAAACAGCATTAAAAGACACTTAGTTGCTCAAAGCTATTTTGTAAACACGTTTCCAGAGCTATACAATATTATTAATCAAGGCCGTGAACCCAAACGAGCCTGCCTTAACCCAAGGCCTCTGATGATTCAGACCGAACTGGCAACCCGACCCTGGGTCCCAGCTCGTCCCAAGCCAACCCAGGCCAACCATTCCACATTTTAGTTGTTAAGCAGGTTTTAAGAATTAAAACACTAACTTGGGTACATTGCTCGGCTTGCCCATAACCGAGGTGTACATCTTTACCCATAAGACACATCTTCCTCACGTGTAGCCACGTGCCACATACCACCACGGTATACGGACGGAAGACGTGACATACTTTCCGACCCATCCTAGCCATAGACAAGAGTACCGACCCAACCCCACCTATGGCCGGAACCCCTGGGACAGGTAGGCAGGACTGAGCCCCTAGCAGCAGGACACTGGCCCTGTGCCATGACATCTCGACTACCGGGCCGCAGCTCGTGTAGCCTTCATTTGTCCTAGAGATGTCCATCGACCTCCGACTTCGTCCATCTCCATCCGTGTACTTTTGTTTATAACCAGACTGAGCCACAAACTAAGCCTTACCCACTAGACATGTGGAAGTACGGTAGTGCTTTGCAATAGAGGCCCGAAGACCGGTCCTTATATGGCCGAGGTGCTACTATCAAAACCATGCACCCCGAGCCCAGCCTAAAACCATTTTGGGGATTTTGAATAGAGGGGGCGGTGTGAATCCAATTCCACAATAATCAAACCATTCCATAATGTCCAGGTGATGAGAAAATCCCACAGTCTAGAGTTGTAAAACCACTTAATGTTGCCTAATTAACCAGCGAAGCATCTACCTAAAATCATACTAGTGGTACCATGAGTAGAGTGTCCACTAGTTGGGGTTTTGTTTATTCTAGGGTGAACAAGGAAATAATAACAATAACAATAATAAGGTCATAACAAAGGTAAATAGGCATGGCTAGATAAAACAGTGATAACACGGGAATTTAAATAAAGCGATAATGCAATAATTTAAATCAAAATAATTTTATAAACTGGGATTCAATATGTTCAAGGATGATGTGACTTGCCCTGCTCGCTTTCCCAAACGTCGGCTTCAACCTCCACGAAGAGCGGATCTTCCGAAGCTGCAGCGTCTACACGACCAACGGAAAAGAAAATGCTTTTACTCTAAAAAACTCCACATAACAAGCTGAAACAAAGCACAAAAATGGGTTCTTGACTTCATAAGGAAAAATTAGAGACATGAACGGTCCAATTCCGAGTTCAAATGGCCAAGTTATGGCCATTTGAAGTTTATATGCTCTTTAAATGAATATTTGCGAATTTATTCATTTAAATTTTAATTAAAAAAAGGTTTATTGCGTCAGCCGAGGGGAGGGGCGCGCGGACCGGGTCCACAGGAGTGGGGCCCACGCGGCAGCCCCACGGTCCACGGTGGACCGGGCACACCCGGGCTCACACCGGCCGGCGCCGTGGGTCCCACGCGTCAGCTGGACCCGAGGGCGCGGGCGGCTGACGGCCGGGCCCCACGCGGCAGCCGCTCGGTGCGCCCGAAGGCGGCCACGCTGGCGCAGCGACGGGAGGCGGCGCGCCCGCGCCCCTATGGTCGCCGGCGGTGGCCATAGGCACGGCGGAGCGGCGGCCGAGAGAGGGGAGGGAAAGGGGGAAACGAAGCGGCTGTCCACGGCTCACCCCGGGTCGACGGCGACGACGGAAACGGCGACCGGAGCGGAGGAAGGCGGCGGCGCGGCTCGGGTGGACGGGGTCGACGGTGCTCCGGCGGTCGGCGACCGAAACGGAGAGGTGGACGAGGTCGGCGAGGATGCGGCTAAGCCGAAGGAGGCGGCGCCGAGGTGGGAGGTGGTCGGGGCGACGACGGCGGCGGACCGGAGCTCGGCGGCGACGGCGGAGAGAGAGAGCGACGGCGCGAGCTCGATTCCGGCGGGGAGAGAGGGCGGTGAGTGGCGGAAACGGTGGTGGGGAGCTCGGGGAGGGTTTATATAGGGTTGGGAGTGAGAGAGGGCGGCCGGAGGAGGTGGGGAACGGGCGTGGGAGACCCGGCCGCCATTAATGGCGCCGGCGAGGTTAGGGGAGAGGTTTCCAAACGAATCCGAGGGAGAGAGGGAGGGAAAATGGGGGGAAAGGGGGAGGGGATCCCGGGGAATAATTCCCCCCACTTTATTGCGCGCGGGGACGGCGGGAGGTGGCGGGATTCGCGGCGGCGGCGGCGCTAGGGCGCGGGCGAGGCGGCGGGAGCGGCGGGAGGAAGGGGATGACGGGTGGGCCCCACCCGTCAGCGAGGGTGGCGGGCGGGCCCGCCCGTCAGCGGCGCGCGCGCGGGGAGGAGGCCGAATGGGCCGCGGGGAGAGGAGAGGGAGGGGGAAGGAGATGGGCCGAGCCGGCCCAAGAGGGAGAGGGAGGGAAAAGGGACTTTTTAGAGCTTTTCTTTTTATAAAACCATTTTAACTTTGTTTATTTCTTAATAATTATTATTTGTGCTCTGAAAATTCCACTAAAATTTATTTACGCATTTTAGACTTTTAGGAAATATACAAAAATCCTCCAAGCCTTATTTGACTTTTAACCTTGCACATTTTAATTGTTGGAGGCTTTCACACGGATTTTAATTATTCTAGGCATAATTTAGAGGATGTATTTTAGAGTCGTTTTGGGACGTGACATCTGTAAGTGCTACACTTGAACGTGTTAATAGATCACTACACCTATATGCGTAGCTCATTTGATATCCATTGTTGGCAGGATGAATTACGTGGAAGCCGAAGCGATGAAAAAGCCTGTCGCCTACCTAAACCCGTGCAGGATAAGTAAGCCGAACCACACATACACGGTAGACGGGAAGAAGCTACCGGAACACATCAAGGCGATGACTCCCGAAGAGAGGAAAGCTTACGTAGCACAAAGGCATCATGAAAAGGTGCTCGATGTCGCTACGTACGTAGCTATTGCGCTTGAATCTACGCAGGACAAGGAGTGTGTTTATGCCCCATGTGCCTTTGAGTAAGTTGTAATATATATGCACTGAGAGTATATACATATAATCATGGCTCGACTAACAATTTCGTTTGCAGCGACCATTGGATAGTCTTTCTTCTCTATCCAAAGTACAATGAAGTCATCATCTTGGATTCCCTCGACAATGATAGCAACACCTATCAGGAATTTCTAAGAATTCTTGATCTGTAAGTAAGATATTAGCATGACGTGTTTTAACCTCTGACGAATGTAAATTAATTATATCTGCAAACAGTGCTTTTAAAAGGTATTACCAGCGAGGCGGACAACGCAAAAACTCAAGAGAACGCATATTCGTCCGCAATAAGTGGCCGGTAAGTACATATGGATGCCAAACAGTACTAGTTAATTTTCATAAATGCTTGTGTGTTTCCATTTAATAACCTAATATACCTTATAATCATTTTGATGTTGAAAGTGTCACAAGCAACCGGTGGGAACAGTATTATGCGGATATTACTGCTGTGAGTTCCTAAGGGTTAATGGGAAATATTGTGCGAATTACAACGAGGTAAGTAATTACTTGTTAAATTAGTCGCTAACTTGTATTATAATACACACTTGTTAAATTAGTCGCTAACTTGTATTATTGTTAATAATTAATTTCCTTAATTCTGTCATGATCTGATGCAGCTTCCAAAATTCCCCAAGTCTGAAAGACAGCTCGATGATACTTCCATTCAGAACATTCAGGCAGACATGTGCTACTTCATCCACCTTGAGTGCGCACATCAGCTTAGGCGATTTTTCGACAATGAAGGAGTCTTAGCCCTGCCGGAGAATGAATCCCTGTCTAACTGGACCAGGCGTATAATATAGCTAGGATTTTGTAATTCATTCAAAATACTTGTAAATGTTATGTCGTCGGTCAAAATTAATTTATCAATGTACATATATATATATATATATATATATATATATATATATATATAGGTGTTTCCGAATTACTATATGTATATTATTCTACTTCATACTCAATGTGTGGCTCTAACATACGTGAAAGAGAACATACTCTATCGATAGCTCGATTAGTTATATCAACCACGTGTGACTCTGAAACACGCGCACGAACAAAAGAAAAAAAGTATATATAATAATGTTTTAAATTTTTTTAAAAAAATTTGCATCTTCACTGGTGGGCCACATGTCAGAACTAGGACGGTCCATATCTTCGTTGTCGGGCCACGTGTCCATCCACATAAGCCTTAGTTTATTTTTCCTAGCGTGCCACGTGGCCTAAAATACTGTGAGCCGCCAGCAAAGAATTATCTTCGCTGGAGGCCGTCCTAAGGCTACTGCCAGCGAAGAGTTCTCTTTGCTGGCGGGCGTTCCTTTCTTGCCTGCCAACGAAGATGCGTTTTTTCTGGCGGTAAATAACCGCTAGCGAAGATCGACATTTTTATTGGCCTTTGCTTTGTGGCGGCTGCGATTTTCACCAGCGGAAATCCAAAATGGCCACCACGAAAGATGGTTTTCGTAATAGTGATAGTGACAAGTATCGATGTGTTCTCAAATCACACCATAAAGTTTCAAATCCGTCGAATCATAGTCGAAGTTGTCAAAATCGAGTTCCAAATCTATATATAGAGAAATTAATTAAGTATTAGCCTAATTTTTTTTTTAAAATCAATTAATATGATTTCTTAAAGCAACTTTCCTATAGAAAACTTTTAAAAAAACGCACCGTTTAATGGTTTGAAAAACATGTGCGCGAAAAAAGAGGAAGGTGGGTTAGGAAAGAAGGGGAAGAACAGTCTTACATACGTAACAATCCTTTCTCTAATCTAATCTGTTCCTCATCTACATGCTATAATGCATTCAAACTCTGTTGCAGCTGTACTAGTACACAAAGCCCTTATGGCAGATAAATTTGGAACTCTTTGCTTCGAATAAAAAAAAATCTGAGAACACTAACACAGATTGCACATCACCGATCGAAAATAATAATAATAATAATAATACAAGGGAACTATTTCAATTCCCATCCTATATTGCTGCCTTATGGAAAGACCTCGATAATGGATCGAATGCCTAACACAGGACTAATCTTGTACTCAGTGAACCCGGCCTCGTTGAATATCTTGAACCACTCTTTCTCATCCCTCTCCATGCCTGGTGTTAGCATAGAAATGGTTAGATCAAACAGCAGTTGGGTTCCATAGCACATTGCTTGGGAGGAGGATCCAACCACAACATCAATGATAATGACTTTCCCTCCTTTATCTTTAGAAGGAATTGCCTCCTTGCATCGTTTTAATATCTTTACGCAGTCCTCATCACTCCAGTCGTGTAGGACAAACTGTAATCAAGAATATTTGTTACCATCTAAATCACTGTACTAAGTTCCTACTGCCTAATATATACTATACACTACTACAAAACCCCTCGTAGCACTAGTGAAGAAACAATCTTTTAACACCGGTTGAAAACCCCCTTTAGTACCAGATATAGCAACAGTGATAAGCAAATTAGGACTAAAGATCTTGATCTTTACTGAATACCAAGTAAAAAAAATGAGTGGTATATGGGATTCGAACTCAAGATCTCCCACCTCAGCCCTCACGCGTGTTACCATCCACCAACTACACACATCTAACATAGATAGAGATGCTTTCTTTTCAAACTAACCTGGAGGCATTTTTAGTACCGGTTAGTAACAACCGGTACTAAAAATTTCTTTAGTCCGGGTTGGTGTTACCAACCGTAACTAAATTTAAATTTTTAATTCGGGTTACTATTACCAACTGGGACTAAAGATCCTCCAGCATTCATCTCGGTTGGTAACACCAACCGGTACTTGAGTAGTACCAGTTGTTAACATCAACTGGTACTTGTTTAGTACCGGTTGTTAACACCACCAACCAGGACTAAAAATGTTTTCAGGGACTGGGACTTTTAGAACTGGTACTAAAGTATTTTTAGTACTGGTTCTTAATATAACCAAGATATTTTTTATTTTGTCTACCACAACGAAAGATCAGTTCTTCAGTAGTGTAGGTATCGACTCATAGGTGTCAGTTTATTTAGAACCGACACCTATGAACCTTTCCCACCTCCACGCGATCACATATGGGTTGGTTTTTAGAAAACCAACTGAGCCGAGCCATCCTTATCCGGCCACCCATCCTTATCCACACTGATACAAGCATATCCCACCTCTCGGTTTCTTCCTTTCCATCTGCCGCCACTCCTCCTCTTCCTCCTCCCTTTCTATTCGCTGCCACTCTTCCTTCTCCTCCTCTCCCTGGTGGCGCCCGTCCAAGCTGCGCTGCCCCTCCTCCACCTCACCGCCTCCGAGCCGCGCCACGTCGGATCTGGCCGCCTGTAGGTCAGGAGCCGCTAGATCCAGCTTCCTTTAGGTCGGTGCTTGCCGGATCCAGCCACCTGCGACCTCACCGTCGTGGATCAACTCGTCTAGCTCCACCGCGTCCATGTTATAGTTGATTCGAGCATCAATACAATCTTTTTTTTTAAAGATTATAGGTGTCGGTTGAACTGGCACCACGCGGATGGGCAAAGGTGCCCTAAATTGGTATTGGTTGGGCAAGCGGCTCCTATAAAGGGTTTACCAGGGTTTCTAAACCAGCACCTATGGGGCCTTTTGTAGTAGTGATAAAAAATGTTGTCAAAGCAACAGGAGGGCATCACAGATAGTATGTTGCATTTGCATTGCATATTGCTAAGACACTGACCTTAAGCAGGAGGGCATCTGCTTGGGGGATAAAATCCATCATATCGCCTGCGACAAACTGAACAACGTCGCCATGATCAACAGGAATGGAATCGATCACGTGAGGAAGGTCCAGCACCGTGCACTTGATATGCGGGAACGCAGCAGCCACCGCCCTCGCCGCCGCGCCAGTGCCGCCTGCGACATCCACAAGGGAGGTGATCTTGTCGAACACCTGGCGTGCGCCACGGATGGCCGCGTCCATGATGAACGCCGAGTCGGCCGCCATGGCATCGTTGAAGAAATCGCCGAGCTCCGGGGCGCGCCTGCAGGCGCCCCACAATCCAGCGCCGTGCGCCATCTCGAACGCCGTCTCCTCCTCGCCGGTCTTGAGCCACTCGGCCATGCTCGTGGCGGGCGTCACGCAGAGCGGCGAGTGCTGGAGGAGCACGAACGGCAGAAGCGTCCTGCCGGCGGTGACGAGCAGGGACGACACGGGCGTGAGGCGGTAGTGGTCCTCCTCCTCCTTGACCTGCGCGAAGACGCCCGAGGCGACCAGCACGCGCATGACGCGGCGCAGGAAGGGGAGCTTGGTCGGGTGGAGGGACAGCGCGGCGTGCAGGTCGTGGAGGGTGGCGCGGCCGCCGGCGCGGTGGATGGCGTCGGCGACGCCGAGCTTGGCGGCGCACCCGAGGGCCATGGACCTGACGTAGCCCAGGCTGTGGTGCATCAGCTCCGTGCTGGCTTGCACTAGCTGCTCGTGCTCCATGATAGACTAGGCTTGGGTGAGCTAGCTGATTCACTGGTAAGTGAAGGCTCGTTCGTTGTATATGGTTGGTACGTGGCCTCGCATTGCTATCGATGTCACACTACAAAATTCCTTGTCTGGGCCAGGACTGTATGAGCGACTGCTTATCAGGCATCCTTCCTAGGATCGACCTTAGCCTCACATTACTATCGGTATCAGATTATCAAAAAGACAAAACTCCTTGTTTGAACAGGAATATGTATGAGCGAATAATTTGGGGCCTTTCATTTTTTTAGGTCCCGTTCGATCGCCCGGTCACTTCACAATTCTTGTGGGTAATGTTCCGATCACCCACTTAGGATTGCCTCGTTGATGGGCCTGGCGAGATGTAATTAAACTTCTCTTGATGTTTTTTTTTCTCTCCTTTGTTTTGTGGCTAGGAGAGCCAGCGCTCTACGTCGTATTTTCTTCTACGTTGTAATTCTTTTGTATGTTAGGAAAAAAAGTATGAGCAGAAGGGTATTATACTCATTTCTGTAAAGAATATATCTGTCAAAGCAAGACCAACTACATATATAGAGGACAATAGTGATGGGCAGTGAATTTGCCACTCCATCCGAGCATGCTAACTCACTCCAGTCATTGGGAGGTGATCTTGTACGTCCACGTGGAAGCTGAGGATCAATGACTCAGATTGGGGTTTGGCCGAACCTTAGCTGTCACCTCAGCCCGTGGGCTTCCTCGTTCGTCTATCCCGTCACTACCTGTTAATGTACATTGGGAGTTACTCCCTCCATCCCAGAATATAAGCCCTCTCGAAATTCTTCATGGGGATTAAGGAGATAGGATGGAATTAAATGGGATGGTTGTAATTGGTTGAGATGAGTAGTAGTAGGTGAAGAAATAAAATTAGAGATGACGTGGTTGATTGAGATAAGCAAGTGAGTAGAAAAGTAGCTACATTTTGAGACAAAATTTAACACTTCTCATTTGTCATATCTTCTTTTGATAAAGCTAATGCCCACTCAACACTTAAATCTCAACATGCAAGCATAGTATTATTAGCACTCCTAAAACTTACATGCAAGCATGCCACATCAACTTATTAAGCACACAAAGCTCAACGTGCAAGCATATAGTAATTATATCTACAATTTATTTTATTTTAAAACTAAACATACACATGCTAAATCGTCATTCTCAAATCATTTTCATAATATTTCAATGCAAATCATTTCATCATTTCTCCATTATCAAATATATATCCTGCAGCAAAGCGCGGGGCATCATCTAGCTACATGTATAGATGATGTTGGTTGACATGTCAATTTTTGGTTGTGATGAATGTGTAGATGCTGAAGTGACAGTTTGCTGGACTTGGTTTTATTTTGTGCACAAAATAAATAGTATATACTTTGTGTGATTGTCTTTTTCATAGAGTAAGGAAGCAAACAGTTGGCGTTATTTTTTTAAGAAGAAATCTTATGTTCGTGTGGCTAGGAACAACCTTTTCTTGTATTGGTGAAATTGTGGCTGCACTATCTCGAAGGTCTCGTAAGCCAATATCCACACATCTGAATATGTGAGTTTATTTTTCGTAGAGATTTTTTATGGTTCAGGATTTTATTGATATCATCCCCTCTCGAGCCTTTGTTAAAAGAGGGCACACTTTACTCTCCACCTTTTGGCTGAGTTAAACTTATGGAGAACATAAAATGGACTTGTCATGTGACCCAATTTCTTCATATTTATTTCCTTGGACACATGGATTGATCCTCCACCAAGAAGATTGGTCCAATATCTTGATATCTGTTTCCTTAGTCATATGGATTGGTCATCCACCAAGATTGACCCACTTGGCCTAGAGTATTTTCTGGCTTACTTCTTACTTGCTTCTAGTCACCTTTCATACGTGCATCAAATACAAATTAGTACCCTTGAATACCACGTACATCTCATTTATGGATTTTACTTCCAACATTTTATCATCTTGATGAGGAGTATATTTATCAGTCTCATAATGTGTGTTGATATTTCTTAATGACATTACTAGAAATATAATTCCAAGCAATTGCGCCAAAATATTATTGATATATTTATGGTTACATATATGATCCGCAAGTGCACAGATATACCATTGTAGCATTTTACCCGGGATCAATCCAAGGTATTTTATGTACTTAATCCCAAGGAAAGATATGATAAGAGAGTACTAAGCTAATAATTCATATATTACTTGTATAAACCAAAGTCTAAGCAGGGGTTAGTCAATTCATTAGTAGGATAAGGTTGACACACAGAAGAAAGAACCAATGTATTCTTCACTAAAATATAATCTAGGCTAAGTGGAGGAAGAATAAGAAAAGAATCATTCCTATACTTCCTGTATATAGTTAATTTAGTTTACACTTGCTAGTATACAATCATGCAACCAATACCCCGTAATTATGCTCTCCTAGTGTTTCAACAGACCACCCCTGATTGACGAGTTCCTTACGACAATCTGCTATGGCCATCCAACCGGTAATAAATACGGAGGAGTATCCATACCAGGAAAGTGACTTAGGCTCCGTTCGCCCTTCCAGGATCCCAACCGGGAATAGTACGCACGGAAAACGGAGCGATCCATTAGCACGTGATTAATTAAGTATTAGCTAAATTTTTTTCAAAAATAGATTAATTTGATTTTTTTAAGCAACTTTCGTGTAGAAACTTTTTGCAAAAAAAAGCACCGTTTTGCAGTTTGAAAAGCGTGCGCGTGAAAAACGAGGAAGAGGAGTTAGGAAAAGGGTGTGCCGGACACAGCCTTAGGGGTATATACTACATGGAGGAATACCCATACTGAGCTGTCTCCATCAGCGGCCCACCTGTACTGACCCACTGCATATAACCCCAATTAATCGTATGTAATAATCTAAGCACCATGCTCACATTACTAAATATTACTCCATATCGCTGCAGCAAACATACAATAATCATAGAAATAAACATTAAACCCATACCAAAGCATATCTCTGATAAGCTAGTTACACAATTATATCGAGACAAGTACGAACTAAAGTCGGTACTCGAATAATATGACTTAAGTAAAAGACCGAAATTATATAAAAAAGAATATTTCATTAATACTATAAGTCTTACAATAGAAGGAAGAGTTGCTGGAGCCATACTCAAAATCTCCTGAAGACTCGAGGATTAAGAAAACTATTATATTCCTACTCCACTAGCACTAATACACTAAACTAAACTTCAGAGAGCTTCTTTTGTCTTCTTCTTGAGTGTGTATGGGAGAGTGAATGAGCACCCCTTTATATAGTCTCTCAATGACGGTTATGGCAGTTGGAAATGGTGGAAACGCCCTCCAACCATCATTGAGAGTGCATTTGGAGCATCCACATGGAAGGCCGGGATGAGTGGCCGCGGCTAGGGTTCGGCCGAACCTGGGCTGGCCTATCCGGCCTCCACTTTTGGCAGGCGCGTCTTTTGTTGGGATTTATTCTCCGTGATGATGGTTAGGCCTATTTGATGTTATTTTACTAGTTTGTAAGCCCATCCACCCATACGTCTATCTCTCGACGGACGGCGATCGATTGTTCAGTTATTTTCTGTCGATTATCCTTCGAATATGTAGAGCTCTCTGCAAACGAATAAAATTCCAAGTACAAGTGGATATAGTTTATTCTTAAACAAAATATGCTTGCAAGCATTGATAGTTCTCCTTTATTCCGGTTATATTGATGGTTGAAATTGGTCTAAAACGACCGTCAACAGTGTAGAAGTGTCATGTTTTCACCTAATCACCTCAATATCAGTAGAATAGCAATTTGCCAAACATTTCCAAGAATTAGTACCTGTAGGATCGAATCACAAGAACTAAGCCAACCAGAGGGGGGTGAATGGTTGATATACCCAAAAACCGAAAACTTTTAGCGGAAATAAAAGTTACCCTCGAAATCGATGGATCACGGTCTGACCGAAGTAGATGCACCGGTGTAACCGCCTAGTTGCCGTCGGTCTGACCGAGATTCAATCTCCGGTCCGACCTCCGAGATCAGCTGCCACTTGCTGTCGCCGCCGCCGGTCTGACCGCCCGTATGCCGCCAGTCTGATCGCCGCTTGTCGCCGGTCGGACCGCCGTTGGGTCGCCGGTTGGACCGCAGCACCCGATGAAACACAAATCGAAGAACTCTCAAAGTAGATGACAACTTTATTACTTCTCTCTGTGTTTACAAAGTGCAACAACAGCACTCCTTACAAAAATCTCGACTAAACTTGAAACCCTAACTAAACTAGCAACTCAATTGAACCAAAAACATGTTTTTCTCAAAAACTCCAAAAATTATGTTTCTCCCAAAATTCATCTCTTCTCCCAAAACTCATCTCTTCTCCCCCTTTTGACAATGATTTCATCAAGCATAGAAATTATGTTCATTAAAGTATAAGAGCTTATCATACATATGGCATATCATGTCATGTGTTGCAATAAAAAGAAGATGAACCAATCTATAACATAACAAGCATGCATTAAAGTATAATCATAAACCAAAGATTTTATAATTAAGCTTGAATCAACAATCAAAATTCATGATTTCGTACGATTTATAATGCAACATCTTAACAAGCACATAGGTTGAAAAATAAACACTAAACACATATACCTATTGCATTTATCACTCTTTCTCAAATTAGCTCTAGCACAAAATAAGAGAATTTTTTAACCTTTTTTTTCAAGCCTTTTTGCTCATATTTTTCTCTCTTATTCCGGGTACGTCCCTGTCGTCAAGACTATTTCCAGGGATTCGGCACCCATTATTTTGCTCACATCGAATACGTCATTGTCGTCAAGACTGTTTCCAAGGATTCGGTATTCATTTTTTTCATATTTTTTATTCTCTTTTCACAATGAGCAATTAAAGCTATTTGAGGAATAACAATTCAATAAAGCATAGATATAGAGCATTTACAAATAAAACCATATGCTAGCATCAACATTGCATATTTACTTAATTCAAGTATAGAATTTAAGTGTCATGCATCATCTCCCTTAAAAGTAAAATCTAAATCTCATGAAAAGACTAGAATATATACAAGCTATGCTAGAGACAAATAAACCTTCAAAGTATTGCTAGCATGCACAAGAAAATACCATATGTATAGAACAAAGCTCTCTTTTCTCAATTTTTTCATTGTCATATTATTGCTTGATAAAACCATGAGGTACATACTCCCCCTCAAACCATGCCAAAAGAATTCACGAATAAGAACTAACTCCCCCTCAAAATAACCTCCAATTCTCTTCGAGCAAAAATCAAGAAGAAATCAAAGATTTTGAAACAAACATCCAATAGCCAAAGATATCACCAATACTTTCAAAATTGACATACATCCATTAGTATTAACCAAAGCTACTATCTCAAATACTAGCATATGAAAAAGCTAATAAACTAGAGAGTAGAACAAAATTATGTCAATCCAAAAGTAAAGTGATGTTACCTTTCAACGCAATCGTCATCTCAAAATTGAACGCACATGGGGAGTATGCCACCAAAATACCTACGAACGAGAAGATGTCGAGGCCTCCGTGTTGGGGTTAGAAATAAGAAATTTTGGAATCCAACACTGAGTCACACGACCAGTAGAACCAGTAGGTACAAATGCACTAACAAAATCAGAATCAGACTTACCTGAAAACTTACCTTGACGCTTCACAAAAGTCTGATTTGAATTATGCGATAACTTGCCCCGAGGCTGGTCTGACCGCCGCTGAGACTGCGATATGACCTGGCCTGGTAATTGGTCTGACCGCCCGTTCACCTGCGGTTTGACCGCTGGCCGGTCTGACCGACTGGACAATGTCGGTCTAACCGTGCTCCTCGAATTAAAACCTGATTTTTGCCAACGTCGTTTTGCAAAAGCAATTTCTCTTTTCTTTTTCTATTTATGGGCAGATCTAAAACAAAAACCAACCAAATGTCCATCTTTTCCACAATAAGAACAAGTGTACTTCTCACGACAAGTTTGTGAAGTAGATGGTTTTGAAATTGATGGTTTTGCAACACAAGTATTAACAGAAGGTTTTGCAAGCACAACATTTGATTTCGAAGAAGATGCATTCAAAGAAGACATGATGCCGGCAGATTTAAACACAATATTCTTAGGCTCAGATTCAATCAAAATTTCACCTCTCCTAGCAACACCCAAAACAGTAGGAGGATGTCTAGTATGATGATCATAAGAATCAAAACCTAAACCACGGTTGTGCGTGCTAACTTTGGATTGATCAAGAATCATATTGAGGTTCTTTTTACCATCAGAAAATCTTTCCAAAGAACTTTTCAAATAAGAAACCTCTTGTGTAAGAACAACACAATTTTTGCATGCATCCAAAAGACCTTTTTGTTTTCTACAAGTTGAGCAAGAAAACACCTCATCTTGTTTAACAATTTCTTCCATGTGATTAACACGCTCTAAAGCATCTTTCAACTTCAACTCATTCAAACCACACTTTGAACAATATTGAGAAATCAAAGCACCATTGTTTTGTTTTGCCTTATTTGCACATGAAACATTGACCAAAGAACTTGCACAAAAAGCAACTTTGTATTTTTCCAAAACGTTCTTTGTCAAAATCAACTCATCAACAACACGAGCATGTAAAGCAAATCCAAGAGCAAAAGAAGACTCCAACCTTTTAGATTTTTCAATCTCAAATTCCAATTTCTTGCAACTAATAGAATTGACATCTCGCAAAGCATTAATTTCAGAAAATAAAACTTCACAAGATTGACAATTATTAGCATTAGGAATCAAAGATTTTAATCTAGCAATTTCAGCATTAAGAATCTCAATAGTATGATCCTTCTCATCAAGCACAATAGAACATGTTTGAAGTTTCTTAGCAAATTTATAAGCAGCATATTCTAATTGATCATAACTAAGCTTTTCTTCATTATCATCATCAGATTCATCAACACCAGAACTTGCATTACGAGCAATAAAAGCTAGATCAACAACTTGCTTACCTTTGCTCTCATCTTCATCTTCCGGTTCATCAAAAACTTTTATTAATTCTTGAATTAGCCACTGCATGCAATGCTTCTTCTTCTCCTTCTCCTTCATGTTCTTCTTCTTGTTCAAGTCATCTTCTTTGACTCTTACATCATCTTCCTTCTTGCCTCTCCCAAGCTTAGGACAATGCGAGCGAAGATGATCAAGTGCACCACACTTAAAACAACGATTCGGTCCACCTCTTTTCCTGTTCCTAACATTATTCATAGCTCGAGAAAATTTGTTAGATAGCAAAACCAAGTCCTCCTCGAACTGTTCAAGTTGATCGTCGAACATGGCATTAAATAAAGCAAGAACAGAAGACTTCGATGAAGAAGCATCAACATCCAAAGAAGTTGTAGACGAAACCAAAGCACTATACTTAGAATCACCTTTACGAGAAAGAATATTCATCTCATGAGTTTTCAGTTTAGTGTAAAGCGAATCCAAAGTCAAAGTAGACATGTTAACAGACTCCTGAATAGATGTAACTTTCATCTCCCAAATAGACATGTCAAAACCATTCAAAAAGTGACGAGAAATCTCAGATTGTGGATAATTAGCATCATAAGAAGAATCAACAGATCTAAGATCACTCAAAATTTTATTAAACCTAGAAAGATAGTCATCCAAAGCTTCTCCAAGTTTCATTTCAAATTTAATGTACTCCTTTTTGAAAAGATCACGACGAAGTTCTTTAATGTTATTTGTACCTTGATGAAAATTTCTCAAAGCAATCCAAATCTCATGAGCAGTTTGAAGATGAGCAACACGATCATAATCCGAACGAGAAATCCCACTCAAAAGAATATTGCGAGCTTTGCAATTTAGTTCAAAAGCAGTTTTTTCAGCAGCAGTATTAATAGCTTCAGGAATCACATAAGGAAGAGAAACTTTTCTCCAAATATCATAATTCTCAGCCATAATGTAAGATTGCATCCTACTACACCAATGAGAAAAACCGTTCTATCGAAAACATGAGGCTTAGTTGTAAACTTATTAGAAGCAGCCATAGCAAAAACTTTAGATCGATTAAAATCCAAAGAAGCAAACAAGGCTCTGATACCACTTGTAGGATCGAATCACAAGAACTAAGCCAACCAGAGGGGGGGTGAATGGTTGATATACCCAAAAACCGAAAACTTTTAGCGGAAATAAAAGTTACCCTCAAAATCGATGGATCGTGGTCTGACCGAAGTAGATGCACCGGTCTGACCACCTGGTTGCCGTCGGTCTGACCGAGATTCAATCTCCGGTTTGACCTCCAAGATCAGCTGCCGCTTGCTGTCGCCACCGCCGGTCTGACCGCCCGTATACCGCCGGTCTGACCACCGCTTGTCGCCGGTCGGACCATCGTTGAGTCGCCGGTCGGACCGCCGCACCCGATGAAACACACATCGAAGAACTCTCAAAGTAGATGACAACTTTATTACTTCTCTCTGTGTTTACAAAGTGCAACAACAGCACTCCTTACAAAAATCTCAACTACTCGAAACCCTAACTAAACTAGCAACTCAATTGCTCTAAAAAACGATACAAAAGCGATACCGTGAAGCCCCACGCTCCCCCTCTATTTATACATGAGGTAGGCAGCCTAAAGCCACGAACCAAACTCATACTAAGAGTCCTAATCCCCATAGGAAACCTCCTAGTACAAGAAACAAACTCTACATAACCAATCATACCAAATTTGGACTCCTTCCAAATTCGACTCCGCATCCCATACGCACACAATACCTCCATCGTATGCCATATGGAATCTCCATAAACCACGTGCATCAACTCTAGCCTTAGTATCCCGCATGATATCTGACCACCACGGACATCGTCTTACCACCAAGCCGACTCCCGGTCCATCACCGCAAATACTCTCCCGAGGCATCGAGTCACCTACACATGAAACAAACAAAGAAACCATATTCCGAGACCAAGCTATCACCAACTTGACTCATTGTATTGTTAGCAAACAACAGTATTACATACGTATAGTATCCATCTAGAAGCCATAACCATGAAACAACCACAGATATCCAAAGAAACAACCCGAAACCGAAACCGACACAGCGTCGGCCGGTCAGACCGCGGGCCGGCCGGTCTGACCGGCAACCACCGCCCGGTCTGATCGGTCCCGACACACCTGAAAATCAATTATCTCCAAAACCACTTCAACAGTAATCTCCAAATATCAAAACCAATAATCACAGATGCTAATTGTTCGTCACCGAATAAGAATCAAAACACACGTTGATCTTACAGTACCAGCAACTCTACATTCTTGAAATTCACATCACTTCATTGCCAATATCTATACTCCTTTTAAAAGAGGGCAATGGTGGTGACAGTGAATCTGCCACCCCACTAACTTTTGTATAGAGTTTTTTTAACCAACTACTCCTTCATGTTTTTTACCAATTACTACTTCATGTGCTTTAATATTACAAAAAATTTCTTCACAATTATTCGTATAATACAAGTTTATTATACAAAGACATTAACAAGGACAAAATTGTGCAAAAACATCACAATTAATTTGTTCCAAACAATATTAGCACACGCATAATTTATTTTAATCCGTAGCAAAACACAGGTACTTAGCTAGTAACATTATATATTTCTTTGTAAAAAAAGCAGAAAGGACATCCTCGCATATATATTATAGAGAAAAGAGCGATATATAGTGCATACATGAAGCACAAGACAATGATAAAAGAAGACAATCATACCCAAGACTGCGAAAATCGAAACTGGGGTATTTGATTCCCATATACTGGGAAACCTATGGAAATACTTTGATAATGGATCGAAAACCTAACACTGGGCTAATCTTGTACTTAGTGAACATCTTGAACCACTCTTCCTCGTCCCTTTCCTTCCCTGGTGTTAGAACCGAAATATTCAGATCAACCAAATGTTGGGTTCCTTGGCATATTGCTTCAGAAGAAGATCCAACTACAACATCTATAATGATGATCTTTCCTCCTGCATCTTTAGAAGGAATAATTGCTTCCTTGCAACATTTTAGTATCTTTATGCAGTCCTCATCACTCCAATCATGTAGCACAGACTATAATCATCAAGAATTAATGTTATCATCTAAAATGTGTTAAATTTTGTACTAGCTTAGCTTGCTATCCAATACACAAAAATTTGTTAACAACACTACATTATATATATTGGATATATATAACTGACCTTAAGCAGGACGGCATCTGCTTTGAGGTTGAAATCCATCATATCACCTGCAACAAACTGAGCAACGTCGCTATGATCAGACGCGATGGAATTGATCACATGTGGAAGGTCCAGCATGGTGCATGCACCATGTCTCCTCTGGTTACCAATCGTGCATTGTCCAGTTGACCTTGCCGAGAAGGCTAACCCCTGCATGCGAATTGAAGAACACAAACAAGAACAAGGTAGACTATAACTCAATTTGCAGATGAATGATTAAGATCTCACAATTGGGGTTCCACAAACCGAACTAATGGTGAAACTGCAATTACATAAATAATCTAAGCAAAACCCAACTCTAAATTATGATGACTACTGAGTAAATATGATTAGGGGTGTTCTAGGGTTAGCCCTAGGACGTCCAGCTATTGGGTTTAGCCCACAACACAATTACAAAGTCCAAGGCCTAAATCAGACTCGAACTGGATGTGATACGTGGCTTGTTTTACAGATTCCCAATAGTTGAGATGGAATTTTAACGTGGGACCAAAAGCATCAAAAAGTAGACTACATCAGTTTTCCAACAAGTACTCATGAGCCCTGAAATTCCTTCTAAATCAACGACGGTCCGTTTGAATTTGATGTTGTTAGGATATCCGAATCCGAATAAAAAACGTGTTGAACTTCATCTTTTGCCTTGTATGGACCAAAAGTGACGCGGTAATGATGGAGTACACTTGGAGAAGGTCTTGTATTGGTCCCCAATCAATTTTATTGATCATCCGAGCACTTCGTGAGTCCGTTGTTCATTCCTTGACCCATGCAATTATTTTTGCGAACGAGAAGATGCAAAACTCATAGCGCAATAATGTTTGTTCAAATATATAGCACGTAAATCTCACATAGAAAGCATGCACCTTTGGTCGATGCATACATAAGGTAGTCATGATCATATCTGAGCTAGCTAGTGATGTCCTCATCAACAATGAAAGCTCTCCTCCAACACCGCCAACGCTGAGGGACACTCTCCAGCGAATCCCCTCATCCTCCCCTGCCAAGCTCGCTCTAAAACTAGTGGTCAGTTATTCCTCCCACCCACCACCGTACCACCACAACACCTCGCCAATGACGAAAGGCATTAATGTAGTGCTACCACCCCACGCGGTCAATCTCCTCACTCTCCCATTCATCTTGCTTTGTCTATGTCACCAACAATAGCACACCGCTCGTTGTCGACTCCTCCCCCACCCTACCCCCAAAACTATAAACCTAACCCTAACCCTAAACCACACCCCTAACCGGCCTAACCGGTGCTTGTCGTCACGCCCTAGGGACCATGCGCATGACCTAGCGTTGATGCACCGATAGACCCCCGTATAATTACTTATGATACTCTTCGATTCCACCTTACTCTTATCCCTTATCCTCTCCCACATCTATACATTATTAGTTCTTATAGATAGCTCAACTTACTCTACCATAGCATTTACTGAATCTGCATGCCTAAAATCGAATACTGAAGATCATTTCAGATCTTTCAGAACCATATCTTTTTTGACAATTATTCCAAGGACTCGCTAAATCTTCCTTACTGATCTGTTTATGTTCTATATCTAACTACAACCATACGTTCTGCAGATACAATCATGGATTCACCAATATTCTATGTGATCATGTTGGACGCAACAAATCAAGACTATCTGGTAAATTTAGGTCCAAATACCTTATCACCCTGTACAGTCTCCTGCCAAACACCCATAATAATACACTACTCGGTTTGTACAGCCGGTGCCTCTTACAATTAGAACATGTCACCTATAGGCATGCACACATTCTAAGCTTAGTCACATCACATGGCTTGAAGATAAAAACCAAAGTGAGAGAAGCATCCAACATGCTCTACATGACAACAGGATGGAAGCAATTCATAAGGCAACTGGATTAAAAATCGGAGAAAAGGTTGTTTTCAGACTGTTATCATAGTCAAAGCTGCATGTTATGATACTTAACAAAAAAAGAACCCACTAGATGTCCAGTCACAGGTTACCCCAACAGCCCACCGCCGGTGAAGAAGGGATTAGTTCCTAGAACAAATCATTCTGTCCAGGGGCGGAGCTAGGTAGGAGAGGGGGGCCAGGGTGCCCAAGAATCTGGTCAAGAAAATTTTTAGCTATAGTTCATCTATTTTCACCATATGTGCACCCCTCTCAATCCAATTTCAAGCACTCATATCAGCCTAAATTTAATCTAAAGTAGAGTAAAGCAAGCGAGTAGCACCCTTCTCCATTCCATTTTAGCTCCACCCCTGATTCTATCGAAAGAGGCACATCTCGTATCTCACTAGACAGTGACATAGGTAAACATCTTACATTTTCAAATTTATTCACTTCACCTATAACTTTCATTATCCGTTCATCATTGTTTCGCTTACAGATACAACCTGCAGATTAAACCGCGCATGCACCACCACATCCACACAAGACAAAACACAATATTGAATCAGCTCCTATAAATCCAGGTACTTCAATTACTGTTTTTGATGATATTGTTAATGCCAAAATTTGGTAAGCCCCTAGGAGAATTATCACATCGCCAATAGTCAGAGTCCTGCTATATTCGGTTAAGGAAATTAATCTATCAAAGGAATCTTATCCAGAAGTGACCGAGTTCAAGAAGGATGCGGCATGTCAAGTTATCTATTAATTAGGAATAGTTTGTTAGTTTCCTTTTATATTTAGGAAAGTGTGTTCAGTGTCCTATAAGGACTTTATGTTTTCCTTTTATCTTTAGGAAAGTTTCTTTCTTCTCCTACAAGGACTAGTATCTACCCATGGGTATAAATATGTACACCCGGGGTCATTGTAAAATATCTCTCGATCAATACAACTGCTCTCGGCGCACCGCCACCCTCTTTCCCGAGGTTTTACTTATCAACCGGCAGAATTTGGCACCTGACGCGGGGCTGCATCTGTTCAGTTCGATCTCCGGCGAAGGGGTAAGTCCTACATTCCACCAGCCCCAGTGAATCTATCGGCTACATTGATGTTGTTCAAGGTTGCATCGCTTCGATCTCTTGGATCGCTCTGGTTTGGTCGATATATTTGCCTACCTGATATCTCAATTCTATCTCTAATTGCATTGTATTTAGAGACACATCGGTTTTGTTGGAATTGTCTCAGTTAGGTCCGATCTTCTGTCTTAGCCGATATATCTCTACAATCACAATGCTGTTATAAATAGATTTGCTATATCCATCACATTAGACAGATCTATTGGCTCATCGAGTATTAGATTACCACATATAATCTCATGCTGCATCGGTTAGGTCTGACCTACTAGATTGTTGTTGATAATATAAATCTTGTTAAGCTGATAGGTTCATGCTAGTGTTTTATCGGGGTGCTAGCCGATAAGTTATCTGGACGTTACATCGGTTTATAAGGATATACATATAAGTTGGATTTAGCCGATGACAACAAAGGTTTCATTGATCTATCTAATCTTGTGGATTTTATGACATCCGATCTTCAGCCGATGTATGCTTTAACCTTTGGATCAAAACTTCTTCTATTATATCATACTGCTAGCCGATTGGTTTCTACTGGATTATCTTGCTATACTATTGTTATTTATCATCATCAGCTGATCGCCTTTATATCATTATCTACATTGGACATATAGCCGATAGCTCAAAACCCTATCACTATCGGCTGGTATCGGCATCGGCTGGAATTGCTCCATCGGCTTGTCAGCCGATCGGCTCATTGATCTGCTATTTGCATATCTTGTCAGTTGCAGGATCAAACTGACTGGCACGCTTGCATCTCACCAAACTTTGGACCTGCACTGGAGCTAAGCAGATCTCCCAGGCCAGTGTGTGTTTTTTGCGTCAACAGATATGCATCCATATTTCCTTTCATGCACACTAAAAATACTTATCCACCTTTTTTAGAAAGCAAAAAACAAGCACAGCCTGAAGGATATGTGCTTTTGCAGCAAGAACGTCAAGCTTTCGGTTGAGCTGAAAACTATGTCAAAGATATTGCAGAATTCCTGCACCACTCAAGCAAATTCTATATTGTCGCTATGAACAACACATTCATGAAACAAGACAGAGTGGTCAAATCCTTCACCTACTACTAATCTATTTATAGCCACAATAAACACCTAACATTCAATTTTCTTGACAGTACTTCATAAAAGAATTTTCGAAGAAATATGTAGAGAATATGGGTACCGGATACCCACACGGCCTCCATATTCGACTAGAGATAGGAGGTGGGCCAGATTCATATATTATGTAATAGAGTAGAACTCGGTTGCTATGTTATCTTGTACCTTAAGGCAGGGTATAGAGCCCCGACAGGTACTACCATGTAATAGATTAGAAAACTGATGTCGTTTCTAGCTAGGTTTCTACTTCGTAACCCTGCCCCCCAACCTATATAAGGCAGGCAGGAAGCCCCCTCCAAGGGCACGAACACATAATCACACTTGAGATCGTCAGATCAATACCACAATTGACGGAATATTTCCCCAGACAAGAGTAGGGTATTACTTCTCATCGAGAAGGCCTAAACCTATATAAACCCTTTCTCTCATAACCCATCCACTTTTATATAGCTTGTTCACCACCCCCTTTCAATATTGCTGAAATCTAGTTTCGACAAAATACATAGCAAAATCTTGTGCAAAGCAAGACAGAGAGCATTCAAGTACAAACTGCATGCAGGAGGCCCCTCAACCGCCATGCTTCTTCACAAACCAATAAATGGTTTCTACAACCTCACAGCAGGATGGACACATTTTGCAGCAACCAATAACATACAACTACAGACGATATGTATCTTCCACTTCTACAAAACAGATCGATTGCAGGCAACAATATATCTTCTGTGAAGGTTATTTCGATGCCTTGTGCCATAACCATCCATCTTTGCCATCAAAGTGCAATGCCAGGCTCCACGAGAAGACCACTGCTATACTTATTGCTTTTACCCTTTATGTGCTAAGCTATGTGCGCTGAATTTTCCTGTAAATACTACACCTGAACCACCATGTCTACTTACCTTATCATTTTCCTCTGCAGTTTTCATTGTACTTATGCCAAGTGAACGATGCACCATGTTTCCCACAAACAGCTACCCTCTTATGTTCTGTTTGTGATGTGCTTATTTACTCTTCCTAATTTCAAGTTGCTACTGGAAACAACATCGTCATCTTTTAAACTACCTGTATACAGGCGGTGTGCCAATGACATGCCCCGACATGTAGTGCAGATAACAACAGATATTCTATATGAATGGTTGGCGCACAAATTCGTAGTCATAGGAACCGGCAATGTCCTCGACGAGGTTGATAAGGTGACCTAATTTCTGTAAGAGTAGTCCTCCTTCCATCCTCCTCTCCCAATATATATGTGTATGTGTACACGAAAAATAACCAATATCATCTCTCTAATTATATGGGTCCCCTCCCAATATATATGTGTACACGAAAAATAACCAATATCATCTCTCTAATTATATGGGCCTGACTCGTTAACATACAAACTTCCAATCTATCCCTAATTATATAAGCTTGACCCGTTACAACGCATGAACATGTAACTAGTAAAAATGAAAGTAGGAGGTTTGGTGATAATTGGCTTCGTCATCCTCTGCAGCTGTTTTAGAAGATGGATCAGTCGACAGCAAGGCTCCCAAACCACTAGTAACCGCACATAAAGTGGGGGTACGGTGAGGGTTACTGGTGCTAGGGTTTGACAAAGAAAAAAATTTGACCACAAATTTTAGAAAAAAAAATGAGGAAAAAATCCCCCCAAAAATTCCTAGAAGTAGTGTATGATTTGTAATGATATCCGGTGATAAAATTTTGTGAAAAATACTAAGCTAACTCCATGTGTTGGCTGGACTATAAGGTGGCATTACTTTGAAATCAAGGTTTTGATAGTCGTGGGCATTATTTTGGTAGTATTGGACATTATATTATGGTATTTCTATTGTTGTGTTATGTTTTTTTTATGATTTTCTTTATTTTCAAGTCAAAGACAACGGTTATTGTGCCTTACCACGAGATTACTGTGACCTTACCATGGGATTTAAAATTTTTGAATTCATTTTGAAGATAAAATTCATGTGGTTTTCAGTGGTTACTACGGTAACTGTGTTATTGTGGGGAGGGGGAGGGGGTGACAACCTCCCCACAGACAGTTTGGGAAACCCTGGTCGACAATTGTTACAAAATGGTAAGGGAATAATGAGTGCAAAGGGAGACAATTGATGATCCAATGTTATGCAATGGGGAATGGAAAGTAGGCGGCGCAGCTACACTAGTTGGGCATAAAAGTGGCATGTCCAATTCGCTTAGATTTGCTTTTAGAAAAAAGTACGAATTACCTCCCCCACAAACTATCGTGGTCGACCGAATTACCCCCCCCTGAACCACAAAAGCGGACATTGTTCACCTCCAACTTTGTAAACCGAACAAATAACCCCCCCCCCCGGCTCAATCCGTGGTGGTTTTAATCCTACGTGGTAGTCCAGTCAGCAATTCATTTATAAAAAAAAATAGGTGGGCCCCACCTGTCAGTTTCTCTCTCTGTCTCTTCTATCTCTTTCCCAATCTTTCACTCTCTCTCTCTTCTCCATCAACGGCGGAGGAGGCGAGGCAAGGCGGCAGTGGCAGGCGCGGCTGGGTGGCGACTGGCGGCACGAGGCGGCGACGTCGCCCCCCTCCCCCTCCCGCCAACCGCCTCGCCGCCACGCTCGCCTCCTTAGCCACCACGCTTGCCTCGCCGCTGGAGAGGACAGAGCTCAGGGCGGCTAGAGGAGGGGAGGCGGAGGACGGAGCTCGGGGCGGTAGGAGCACAGGGTGGCGGAGGGAGCTCGGAGGGAGTTCATGGTGGTGCTCCACCTCACCTCGGCCAAGTTCTTGACGACGCTCGTATTCTTCCTCATCGCCTTCACACTACTCACCCTCATCCCGCAGCTCACCCACGAGATCCGCAAGTCGCTCGACCGCCACACCGTGCTCTACACCACTATTGACGGTCGTTATCGACCAATTTCGACCGTCAATACTACCCAATATATGAAGACTAGCTATGCTTGCAATGCATTATTCCATAAATAAAATATTCTATTCCACTATATGCTTGGAAAACTAACCATGCAGGAGAAGCTATCAAAATGGAGGAGAATCGACAGTACAACAATCGATCAATCAAACAGACGCTGTCGAAAATCAGACTTATGGATGGATGGGCCAAGAACTCAGAAATGAGCTATCATTTTGACCCAAAACATTGTGTACCATAAAGTGGGGCCCACATGACAACATCCTGAAGAAGGTTGTGGGCCAGGGGAGCTAGCCAGGGTTCGACCGAACCCCCTAGTTCGGCCGAACCACCAGCTGGCCCAATCCAGCCCATCTTCGGCCAGGCAGTTACTACCAGCATCCTATGACGGTTGGAGCTAATTCTACCTGAAGAAACCGTCATGGACACATGGCAAGAGGAGATGAAATATGCCCTTTGGATGCTTGACCATGCCACTTGTCATGATGAGAGCAAAGATGCTCATAGGATGCTTGGAGCATCTCCACTCTCCCAAGGCACCTCATGGCCTATAAATACCCCTCCTCTCATTCATTCCCTCAAACACCTCAAGAAGAAGATCAAGAGCTCTCTGAAGTATTGTTTAGTAGTTCTAATATTAGTGGAGTAGGAAATAGAATAGTCTTCATAGTCCTCGAGTCTTCAGGAGAATTCGGGTATGGCTCTAGTAGCTTTTCTCTCTTCTTTTGTAAGACTTATTGAATTAATAGAATATTCTTCTTTATACACTTTTGGTAATTTATTCCATTCATATTACTTGAGTGCCGACTTTACTTTATACTTGAATCAATATAGTCGTGTAACTAGCTTTCCAGATAGGTGTATTGGTGTGGGTTTAGTGTCTGATTATTCGGTTGCTCTATGTCGGTTGCAAGGATGTAGAGTAGTATTTAGTAATGTAAGCACGGTGCTTAGATTATTAGATACCATTAATTGGGGTTATATATTGCGGATGAGAGGTGGGCCGCTGATGGTGACAGCTCAGTACGGGTATTCCTCCGTGCTGGTATATAATCCTAAGTTAATTCCCTGGGGAGGGTATTCCTACGTATTTAGCCCCGGTTGTATGGTCATGACGGGCTGTCGTAAGGAACTCGGCAGTGAGGGGTGGCTTCTCGAAACACCAGGAGGACACTGGGTACGGGGTATTGGTTGCATGACTATATAATAGCAAGTATAGATTAAAGATGTATGTATACTAGAAGTACAGGAATGATACTTTTCTTATTCTTTCTCCACTTAGCTTAGACTATATTTTAGTGAGAGTAGTTCTTAGTTCTGTCTTCTGTGTGTCACCCTACCCTTTGAACTGAATTAACCCTTGCATAGACTTTGATGTATATAAGTAATATATAAACTATTAGCATAGTACTCTCTTATCATATCTTCCCTTGGGATAAAATAAATACGATACCTTGCAATACTCTCGGGTGAAATGCTGCAATGGTATATCCGTGCGCTTGTGGATCACGTCTGTAACCATAGTATACCAGGATTATTTCTAGTGCTATTGCTCGGAATTATATTTCCAGTAGTGTCGCTAAGAAATACCAACAACCACCCTCATCGAGCTCTCCAGGGTGCTCGGCCTCACCAACTGCGCCGTCTGGATGCCCGCCGCCGGTGAAATGTGCTTGACGCACAAGCTCCGGAGGGGCGGCAACGACGATGGCGTTGAGGTCGGCGGCGTCGACAACGCGAACATCGTCGAGGTGCGGGGGAGTGATGGCGTCAAGCTGCTCGGGCCAGACTCGGCGCTAGCCTCGGCGAGCGGCGGCAAGGAGCAGGGCTCTGGCGCGGTGGTAGCGATCCAGATGCCGATGCTGAAGGTGGCCGACTTCAAGGGTGGACGCTAGAGGTGATCCAGACGAGCTACGCTGTGCTGGTGCTCGTGCCCCCAAGCGGCAAGAGCTGGGGACAGCACGAGATGGAGATCATCGAGGTGGTCGCTGGCCAGGTCGCCGTCGCACTGTCGCACGCGACTCTGCTGGAGGGGTCGCGGGCGATGCGTGTCCGGCTGGCAGAGCAGAACCGCGAGCTGCTGTAGGCGCAGCGGGACGCGCTCATGGCGAACGAGGCGAGGCAGGCATTACAGGGCGTGATGAGCCAGGGGCTGCGCCGCCCGATCCACTCCATCCTCGGCCTCGTGTCCATGGTGTAGGAGGAGACCCTGGTGCCAGAGCAGAGGCTCGTCATCGACACCATGGCACGCACGGACAACGTTGTCTCCATGCTCATCAACGACATCATGGAGATGTCGGTCGACAACCGCGAGCGCTTGCCGCTCGAGATGCGGCCGTTCCACCTGCACGCCATGATAAGGGACACCGCCTGCGTCGCCAGGTGCCTGATTGGCCGCACCGAGCTAGGGCATGTCACGCTCCGGGTGCACTCCGCCACTGACGATGTGCTGGAGGGTTTGGAGAGGGAGAGAGGGAAAAAAATTGGGGACAGATAGATCATAACTAAGGATAAGACCTTCAAAGATCTAATCTTTTACTGATGTGATGTTGGTACATTAATTCTGCAAGTTGATTAAGCAAGCAACCTATCATGGTTACATCACAACCCATCGATGTAAACCACGCGCTACACACACAAGCAAGAAACAAACGCCTAAAAGAAAACAATGGAACTCTTGGTAGCGTAGGTTCAACTTGAGGGTTCTTCGGGATCTTCACTCCTTGGCACTTGGAGGGGAAACTTTGGAGGCAGGTTCCTTCTTCACAACTAGCTCCACTGCTTCCTTTGCTTTCTTGCCACCTCGTTCAACTATTATGTGTTGAATCCAAGCAAGGGAGGGAGATATGAACACTTTGCAAATAGCATATGGGAAGAAGCAGAAAGGGATTTTGCAAAGTCTTTTACAAAATAAGTCCTTAGGGTTTGTCCGTTTGGCTTATCCTACAGTCGAGATGGCACTGATACCAACTTGTCACGCCCGGAAAATACCTTTCCCGAACACTAGTGTATTAATCCCCGTCCCAAGAGAAGCCGGGGTACACCACA